CAATTCTTGACAATTTAAAGATGCCTGGAAGCAATGGCGGTTCAAGTTCCTTTTCAATACCGCAACTGTTCAGTATACAGCACATCTTCATCTAACGACTTATCTCAGTCTCAGTCTCAGTCTCGTTTGTGCACCTTATTTTTATTAACTCTCCAAATATATATATATATATGAATATATTTATATACTGTATATATACTATTCAACCTCCATTTTGGAACGCTGTTTAGACTTAGACAGCTCCAAGTTTTTGTATCTTCCCCCATTTCCTGGTGATGACTTTTCTGTAGCTTGCGCTTGTTAAATTCTTCTCTTATTAATTATATTATATATAATCATGGAATATGTAGCTCTTCTGCTTAAGTCTCACTAATATTCATCTCTGAAACACATGGCCTTGACGATCTTTTTATCTTTGCTTCTCTTCTTGTTTCCCGTTTTAGCTCTTTCTTCTGTAGAATTCATCTTTAATGGATTCAAAGAAACCCAGCTACGAAATTCAGGAGATCTAGACCTGGAGGAGGCTACTGTTTATAAACGCAACGGTGCACTCAGACTCACTAACACATCCCAGAATGTTATAGGCCATGCATTTCATTCCCAACCAATACAACCCAAAAATTCTTCTTTCAATACACATTTTGTTTTTGCAATTGTTACTCAAACTCTAGGCCAAGGAGGCTATGGTCTTGCCTTCACAATCGCTCCTTCAACAAAGCTTCCAGGGGCTGAGCCTGAACATTACTTGGGGCTTTTCAACCGATCGAACGATGGCAATTCCACAAACCATATTTTTGCAGTGGAGTTTGACACGGTTAATGGTCATAAAAAGTACAGAGACACTAAAACAAACCAAGTTGGAATCAACATCAATAGCATGCTTTCGGAATATTCAGTGCTAGCTGCTTATTATGACCCAACACTGGAAGAGATTACCCTGGACAGTGGCAGTGCTATCCAAGCTTGGATAGAGTATGATGCTGTGACTACACTTGTGAACGTAACGATATGCCCTATGTGGAGAAAGAAACCCTCTAAACCTCTCATATCTCAACGCTTAGATGATCTTTCAACTGTTTTCACTGAAAACATGTTTGTTGGTTTCTCCGCATCCACGGGAGAAAAAGCAAGCTCTCATTACATCTTAGGATGGAGTTTTTCCATGAATGGAGAAGCTACTCCTCTCAATCTTTCACTGCTTCCAGAGCCACCAGCAGTTGAGAAGAGATCATCATCTAGTTTCAAACTCCACTTCAAGATTCTTATTGCTGTGTTATCCGCGGTTCTTGTTCTATTTTTGGGACTATTGCTTTGTTTCAAACTATATAGAAGGATAACACAGTTTGAGATTCTTGAAGATTGGGAGTTGGATTGTCCTCACAGGTTCAGATACAGAGATCTTCACATCGCAACAAAGGGTTTCAAAGAGACTGAACTGTTAGGAGTCGGTGGTTTTGGTGCAGTTTATAAAGGTGTGTTACCTTCAACTGGAAACCAAGTTGCTGTAAAGAAGATTTCACCCAATTCAATCCAAGGAATCAGAGAATTCGCAGCGGAAATCGAATGCCTGGGACGATTGAGGCATAAACATTTGGTCAATCTCCAAGGATGGTGCAAGCGAAAGAGTGATCTTTTACTAGTCTACGATTACATTCCAAATGGAAGCCTTAACTTTCTCCTCATCGATTCCAAAAACAATATTGTATTGAGCTGGGAACACAGAGTCAACATCATCAAAGGCATAGCCTCCGGGCTATTATACTTACACGAAGAATGGGAACAAGTAGTAATCCACCGGGACGTGAAGTCCAGCAATGTGCTAATCGATGTTGACATGAACGCAAGGTTAGGAGACTTCGGCCTCGCCAGGCTTTACGATCACGGTCAACTGTCGCACACAACAAATGTTGTTGGCACCGTCGGCTACATTGCGCTCGAACTAGCTCGAACCGGCAAGGCCTCAACAAGAACAGATGTTTATGCATATGGGGTTTTACTTCTCGAAGTTGCTACAGGAAAAAGGCCACTTGAATCAGATAATTTCATACTGGTAGATTGGGTACTGGAGTTTCAACAATTAGGTCAAATTCTTGATGTCGTTGATCCAAAGTTGGGTTCAGATTACGCAGTTGAAGAGATGGAGTTGATGTTGGGACTGGGGCTACTTTGCTGCCATCACATTCCTGAAGCTAGGCCTACAATGAGACAAGTTTTGCGGTATCTAAACGGCGATGACTTGCTTCCTTTAATTAACTGGAGTTCTGTTAATTCTCAACGTTCTAAAATGAGCTCAGGATTCCTGGAAATTAACTCTAAAGATTATTCACATATTTCATCCTCCCTGGGTGTCATCTCTGCAACTTCTTTAGATGCAGCTGGCAGATGAAGTGCCATCAAATGATCATCATACTGTTTTTTCTTTTTTCTTTTACATTTTCTTTGTGAATTGAATTCATAGTTACATTTTTGCGTACATATAATTGACTCTAATCTAGTTCATAATTGCATTCGTTTAGTGGGTTAATTCTTGTTTAATGAATTAGATAAATGTGATGCGGTGCTTACTATATCGGGCAATTATTGAATTTATGGTCCGTTTGGTTTATTATTCTGATACTTTTTAGAATAATATTTTGAAAAAAGTTAAATTAGGTGGATGTAGGATTTAAAAATTAACAAAAATATCTCTTATGCTTGTTTATTTAATAAACACCCCTATAATAAAATATTAAAAGTTAACAAAAACACTCCCAACCCACCTATTAAGTATGGATAGCCGACTATCACCGCTGGAGGGTCGCTGGGGTGTTTTTGTAATTTCTAAAAAAATATTTAGGGGTGTTTAATTAAATTAACAAATTTAAGAGGGTTTAAAAGAAATTGAATCATATAAAATATTATTTTGAGAATAAATCAATTTTACTGTTTAGCTTTATTGGGAATACTAATAATAGTATTCTCAAGAGTGTAACAAACGGAGCCTTAATTATTTCAAGTTGTTGATGTATGTTGAATCCACACGGTTTTATCCTAAAAAGTAGCCTCTAAGTTGGACATATAGTAGATGGGTTCTCATACTATTGTTTGATTTGGACTCTGGGTACCTCTGGACCTTGGTGCTTGCACAATTTTATCCTGAAAAAGTGTCAAGTGTCCTTGTACTATATCACCGAAGAAGACTCTCATCTCCTAACCGATATGAGACTTTAGCATCAACACAACTAATTATAATTTATAGATAATGATCTAAATGCATTCCAGATTTTTTCAAAGTTTTTTCGATTAATGAAAAATTTATTAATCAAATTGGAATATGATCTTAATATGCATATATTAACGATTTATTTATTCGAATTTATGAGACTGAAATTGCAGCATTGACTTTGAGAGATAAATAACTCACAAATATTAATTGTATGATTAGGCTGGTAATTAAATTCAAACTTGGATGACGTGGTTAATTATAAATCTAATTAGAATTATTAATTAAACAATTTAAATGGATTATAATCTTGCTCAGCAATAGATACTTTCAGTTATTTAACGACCAAAGCCTAGATGATGGGTTATTAAGTATTAACGTGTACACTGGAGTCGCTATCCTGTGTTGCCGCGTTTACCGTAAGGTTATAAACTTAGGGGTGTTGACTAGTCAAAGTCAACCCATAACTTAAGTGCCATCCAATTGAAGCCGTCACATTGAGACTTTAATATTTTTCAACGTTTTTAGCTTCCTTTTATTCACAAAATAACAATAATTATAATTAAGACGACAGATATCAATCAAACATAATTATACAACGAAGATAGGAGGAAGTTGCATAATGGGGGCTCTTTCTTAGCTTTGGTTCTTTAAACAGTAAATAAATAACATCAATATTATCGATAATATTATCAAAAAAGAAAAATATTACATTCATAATCATTTTTAAAAAATTTTCTCTCATAATTCCAATATGATTGCTTACAATTAATCAATTTATAATGAGTTCTACTTAAGTCTCACCTGATAAATTACGGTTGATCAATTATAAAATGTCACGTCAAAGTTACAAGAAGAGATTGTGGGTGTTACATTACTCTATCAAAAAATACCTATATACTCTCTTGTATAAACTTAAAATTTTATTTTGTTTATGTAATAACTTCTAATAAAATGAACGTGTATATATATTAAATCATGATACATGTGTATATATAGCCTAAGTTTGAGTCCGTACAAGCTCAACCAGATTTAACCTAGAAGCATCAAGCATATGTCAAAAAAATCATTCTAGAAGCGTCCAGAATAATCCTCATAAAAAAGGCAACATAATTGGATAGGATTCTAAAGTATAATATTCTACTGAGAGTAATACAACAGATTTTTTTTTTCTATCCATCTGTACAAGACAAATCATAAATCATCTTTAAATTTAAATTATGAATGACTCTTTAACTTCCAATTATATTGGAAGCTCTCATGTTTGATTGGTTTAACTTCCAATTATGTTGGAAGCTTTCATGTTTGATTGGTTTGGATGTGAGTTTGTTTCTTGTTTACTTGATCATCGTACTTGGTTTCTTCACTGTTAATAAATTAAAACTTTAATCCTCTGGGAAGATTGTATTTCTTTCACTGTTAATATTTCTGAAACTTGAAAGCTCTGCAAAAGTGGTCCTTAAGTAATGAAGTTACAGACCTCCTTCATGGACTTTAAACGAAGTCAATTGTGCGTTATTTACACGGCAATTTGTTCAACCTCTATGATAAATATGAGATCTGTATTCTTTACACGGCAACTCGAAGAACACTCTCCACCACATGTTCACAAGACTTGGACATTTAAATTTTATCACTTCCTGAACTGTATTACTCGGTAGCTAGCCATAATAGAAGGATCAAATACTTGCTTTCTTCTTGACTTTGACTTCTTCAAGTCTCTCGTCTTCTTTCTCATGAGTCAACTGCTTATATAATCATCCTTCTCTGTTTATACTTTATACCCTTTTCCTCTTTTTATTCTTTAATTCGTTTTGTATACTTGGCTGTTTCAAGTTAAATCAATTTTTGTTCAGTCAACTCTCTGAATTCCATGGCGATGGGAGTTGCGGGATTTTTTTGTTTCTTCTTTTTCTTACTCTTCCCGATTCTTGCTCAATCTCAAACTCAACCTACCAGTTTCATCTTCCAAGATTTTAGACAAGGTGAAACTAATCTTAGCCTTGACAGAGATGCAAGTATTATCAGGCCTTCTGGTTTACTTAGACTCACTAAGAGATCAAATAATGTCATAGGCCACGCATTCTATGTCAACCCAATACAAATGTTTGAGAAAAATTCTTCTTCTTCAGCTCAAAATGCTTATTCTTTCAGCACAACTTTTGTGTTTGAAATAGTTTCCCCAAGTTCAGGCCACGGCGGCTACGGACTTGCCTTCTTGTTGGCTCCCTCTAAGCAACTTCCGGGGGCAGATTACGGACATTACCTAGGAATTTTCAACCCAACGAATGATGGTAATGCGTCAAACCATGTTAGTTTTGTTGAGTTTGACACGGTTAATGGGTTTAAGGGTGAGTCGGACGACGATGGAAACCATGTTGGAGTCGGCATCAATAGCATGAATAGCCGGTCAAAACCAGCTGCCTATTATCACAATCCAGGTGACACGGATCATCAAGAAGAAGTGAACTTAGAGGGCAATGGGCCTATCCAAGCTTGGATAGAATATGATGGGGAAGAAAAGGTTTTGAATGTAACTATATGTTATGCAGGGAATCCAAAACCTGTGAAGCCTCTCATAAATTACCGGGGTATTAACCTCACAGACCATATCAAAGAAACTATGTATGTGGGATTCTCTGCGTCTACAGGAGATAGATCAAGCTCTCATTACATCTCAGGATGGAGTTTTTCATTAAACGGAAAGCCAGAAACCCTTAATGTTTCAGCAATTCCAAAGGCACCAAAGGAGAAAGAATCAACCCCGTATAACCGTCAAACTGTTGCTATTATTTCTTCTTTATGCGCTGTGACTGTTTTGTTGTTGGGGATATTGGTTTTCTTTTTGTTCTATAGAAGGTCTTCAACGTCTGAGATTCTTGAAGATTGGGAAATAGATTGTCCTCACAGGTTCAGATACAAGGATCTTTATGAAGCAACGAAGGGTTTTAGAGAGAATGAAGTGATTGGAGTTGGCGGATTTGGTGCAGTTTACAGAGGTGTGTTACCAACTAATGGAAGTGAAGTGGCTGTTAAGAAGATTACTCGTAATTCACTTCAAGGAATGAGGGAATTTGCAGCTGAAATCGAAAGCTTGGGACGTTTAAGGCACAAGAATTTGGTTAATCTCCACGGTTGGTGCAAGCAAAAGAATGATCTCCTTCTAGTTTACGAGTACATTCCAAACGGAAGCCTTGATACACTTCTCTTTAAACCCAAGAACGGCTTTGTGTTGAAATGGGAACAAAGATTCAACATAGTTAAAGGCGTTGCAGAAGGGCTGTTATATCTACACGAAGAATGGGAACAAGTGGTGATTCATCGCGATGTGAAGGCTAGCAATGTGCTAATCGATGCTGAAATGAATGCTCGGTTAGGGGACTTCGGTCTTGCCAGGCTATATGATCATGGAGGAATGTCGCACACCACAAATGTTGTGGGCACAATTGGGTACATTGCGCCTGAATTGTCTCGCACAGGTAAGGCCTCTGCGAGTTCTGATGTGTATGCATATGGGATTTTACTTCTTGAAGTAGCTACTGGACAGAGGCCTATTGGTTCAGGTACGTTCCTCTTGATGGAATGGGTGAATGAATGCCAACAGCTTGGTAGAATTCTTGATGCTGTGGATCCGTTGTTGAAATCAGATTACGCTGTTGAAGAGATGGAACTTGTTCTGAAATTGGGGCTCATTTGCTCTCATCAGAAACAAGAATTGAGGCCTACCATGAGACAAGTTATGCGGTATCTATGCGGGGATGAGCTACTTCCTTCCAACTATGATTGGAGCTCCATTGATTCTCAACAAGGATATGAATTGAGCTTCGGATTTTTGGAAGTGTTTTCTTTTGATACGTTCAAAGCGTCGCATGCTTCATCTTCCAATGTTGGCTTCTCTTCCAGTTCAATGGAAAATGGTAGATAGTAGTCGGTCCGTCTCAAAACTTTTTTCCTTTTTCCACTTTGTTGTTAGGACTTAGGAAGTCGATGAACACTCTTCCAAGTAGAATCTGTATACTGATAGACACTGGATATTCACATTGTTTTAAGAGATAATTGCAGTTTATAACTATTTGTCCATTAAGAAAGTTACATTCAACATCACAATCTTCAACTTGATGATCAAAAGGTGAACCTATGATGTTGTAGAATGGCCAAGTGGGCTGAACAAGTTCTGGTTGCACCATGGTTTGGTCTTTAATCTGATTGAATGACATGACCCGTCCCGACCTTCCTCATCCTATAGGATCTGGGCACTCCCACAAGACTCGGATGACCGAGACTTGCCATGTGGGGAAAACTATGAAACTTGAAATCCTATTTTCCTAAATATACTTTACATAAATAATCTGTATGAAAATGTAATTAGAAATATATGTATGAATAGGTACATCAACATATTTAGGAAGTTTGGAAAAATAAAATGCATAATCCATGAAAATCTGGAAAGAGAGTATCAAGTCTTGTGTAATTATAACAAAAACATAAGACTATTACAAAAGAAACATAAGCCTTTTTTTTTTTTTTGAAACATATGCCATAATACACACATGAGAAGATGTCAACGCATGACACAACCTTGAGCGGTGACTCATTGCTCAGCATGATCTCTCTGTGAACCTGGGAGGAGGAAAACATTTTTGAAAATGGGTGAGCTGAAATACTCAATGAGTGGGGGAAAAGGGAAGTTTGCAAAACATTCTTCAAACAAAAGTTATGGCATGCAATGACTCTTATGAAAAACTGAAAACAACATGATTCTATGAACATGATATGGTAGCAACTAATCATTCATGTATGCATGCATAACTCATTTCTAATTGTTCTAAGTATTGTAATCTGATCAATTAAAGTAACAACAATTTCTGAATCCTAGCTCATCACTAAATGTTGAAAACTCTTTTATGAGAACTTAAAGAATAACTGTAAATGCTTATGCTTCTAAAGACAATGTTTTCTATAAAACATCGAATGTTTCATATAACTGGTGCAAATTATCCATAATTGTTCTGATACTAAAAACTAAATCTGATTCTGAACATTCTAAAACTGAAAGCTGATTCTAATACTGTTATTGAAACTATTAACAGATATAGAAAACTGTAGGCTAGTATCTGAAATCTATAAACTGATATCCTACTCCGAAATAGTAAACTGATACTAAAGGTTCTCACCACGACTAGTACCCTGGGGAAAAATCTCAATACCTGGTGGGTGTCTCACACACAAACAGAGTTGTGAGAAACATCTCAATACCCGGCAAGATCTATCATCGCGTGGGCAGAACCTGAAGAAAACCATCTCAATACCTGGCGGACAAACTCAACACCTAGGCAGAGCACTAAATATCTCAATACGTATGCGCAGAGCCTGAAGACCGAATATCTCAATACCCAACGAATCCTGCATCATATGGACAGAGCTTGAAACTAGGGGATGGGTACTTCGTAGGGCGGTTATAGCACCACAACTATCTCATTTTTCTATCTCTAACCATCATTTTTCATAAAATATATGTCACATTTCATATAAGGATAAATCATGCCAACATATGAGATTTCATGGAAAATAAGGGTAAAATGCAAGTTTTTAAAACATACTTTCCAAGCATTTGACAAAATAAAGCTTGCCCAAAACTCAACTCAGCCGACAACATGCAGAGGGTATCTGACAAATAAAACATCTCACTCAAATCACCATTCACACATACTTCCAAAAGTGATCCAGCCGAGAGCATGCAAAGTCATTTATTATGCAAAAATCTCACTTAAAACACAAAACCAAAACACATTACAGTTCAGCTGAAAGCATAAGAAAAGCAATTTAAACCAGACTTCACAATTTTCTCAAAACTTTTATCAAGACATTTAAAATAGAATCACAACTTTCATCAAATATGCAAACATGGATTTAAGCTCTTGGAAGAAGATTTGGTTTAATCCACTCACAAAAGTTCAGCTCAACCCGAAAAGGCCCGCTCCCTCAAGATCTTCCCTTTCTCTTCCACCTAACAACCCGAAGCACCAAAGAATTTAGAGAAAAAGAAATGCACAAATTGTATGTGGAATGATATGCACTCTAAAATTACATGCATGTTACCCATTGAAGAAAAACTTGTGAGATCTCCTCCTTCCTCACTTAGCCGATTCTGACACGACCCGTCCCAAATTTCCTCATCCTGTAGGATCCGGGCACTCCCACAAGACTCGGATACCCGAGACGTGCCATGTAGAAAAACTGTGAAACCTATTTAAAGGACTTACTTTTTCTGAATAACATTATAGTATTTCCATTTCTAACATAAAAAAAAAAAAAAAAAGAAAAAAAAAAAAAAAAAAATAATACATGATGGAAACATGAGTTTTTGAAAAGAAATCCAAAGATACAATACGACGTAAATGTAAAACCCACATAAAAAGATGTCGACGCGTGGCACAACCTTGAGCCGTGACTCACTGCTCGCATGATCTCCCTGTAAACCTGGGGGGAGAAAACTTTTTTTGAAAGGGGGTGAGCTAAAATACTCAGTGAGTGGGGGAAAAGGGGAAGTTTGCAAAACATTCGTCAATAAAAGTTATGGCGTGCAATGGTCCTTATGAAATACTGGAAACAACATGATTCTATGAGCGATATGGTGGTAGCTAATCTCCTGTATGCATGCATAACTCATTTCCAATCGTTCTAAGTATTATAATATGATCAATTAAACTGATAACAATTTCTGAATCCTAGCTCATCACTATATTGAAAACTCTTTGAGAACTTAAGAATAGCTGTAATGCTCATGCTTCTAAAGACAATGTTTTCTATAATCATGCTACAAACATTAAATGTTTCATATAACTAATGCAAACTATCCATCATATACTGAAAACTGAAACTATTAACTGATACTGAAAACTGCAGGCTGGTATCTGAAAACTTTAAACCGATATGGCCTGTTTTGAAACAGTAAACTGATACTGTAGCTTTTACTGTTACTGAAAACTATAATTAATATCTTATTTCGAAAATTGGGGCTATACTAAGGCTCTCTAATATTTTGAAAACTCATATTGAACTATCGCTCATAACTGATACTCAAAACTGAATGCGATTTTGAACATTCAAAACTGATTATGATATTAATAACAGAAACCCGTCACCGCAACTAGTACCCTGGGGGAAAAATCTCGATACTTGGTGGGCATCCCACACACAGGCAGAGTTGGGAAAAACATCTCAATACCCGTAAATCTATCTCGCGGGCAGAGCCTGAAGAAACCATCTCAATACCTGGCGGCCAAGCTCAACGCCCAGGCAGAGCACTAAATATCTCAATACGCATGCGCAGAGCCTGAAGACCAAATATCTCAATATCTAGCGAATCCTGCATCGCGTGGGCAGAGCCTGAAACTGGGGGAATGGGTACTTCGTAGGGTGGTTTTAGCACCACAACATACCATCATAATTCTCATATAATGTGTCAAGAGTATATTACGTATGTGCTTATAAATCATACATATTGACATAATATTTAAATCGCATATAGGGGTGAAACTGCAATTTTCAACAGTTTCAAAAACTGACGGTATAACCCAGATTAAAAATTACTTCAACATCATGATCTTAGCATATAACCGATACAAATCATAAGCAAATATCACTTTTAAAGTCAAAACTCATATAACACGTTATAATGATAATTAAACCCAGAGCAATAATAATAATAATAATAATAATTCATATAAGGATAAATCATGCCAACATATAGATTTCATGGAAATAGGGGGTAAAATACAAGTTTTTAAAACAATATCTCAAAACTAACAAATTCACCACATTTATATATTACCAAGAAATCATATCAACATCACAAATCTCAACGCATATGCAGTTCAACCAATTTCCAAGCTCTCAATTGTAACATTTCCTTTGACATGAATATATCAATACATGGGTGAAAAATTAAAACTGTAAAAAAAAAATATTTTCAAAACTGACAGTTTAGCCCTTTTCAATTACTCACTTAACTTCTACCTTCCTCAAAAAAAAGACGTCACAACCATGAAACCTTTACCAAATTAGGAAGTTTATCAATACAATTATGAAACCCAGATTTTATGATCACCAAAAAAAAATAATAATTTAATCCTTACAAAACAAAGGGGTTATAGCAATATATATAATATATATATATAATTATATTATATAATATATATAAGAAACCATTATCCCAAGGATGTCTACAATCATAAAGGAGAAGTACTTTTTTTTTTTTTTGACTTTCAAGACTTACTATTTCAGACATTCTATAAACTATACTCATTACAACAAATAGCATTCAAACGTAGTTGTTCATAACATATTTTATCTTATTTAACAAATCCCAGCAACTTACCAACACACTGCCCACCTAATACACATCATTGAAACCAATTGAAAGCATTCTTCTACAATAAAATATCCCAAATCCAGCCGAAGCATGGGAGAACAAGCAACTCACACAAACTTCACATATAATCCAAAAACTCATCAAAACATTAACATGCAGACATAAGTCTTAAGCTTTTAAGAAAGATCTAATGACATGCAACACAAGACCAGATCTGATGCAGTATCACTCTTTCTATGTTCAGCCGAACCACATGCAAGCAAGGAGATCAGCAGTCAACAGTAAGTTGTATCAAACAGCATGAGATAATACATTCACTTAACAAGCAATCGAAAAAGTTTAGATTTTTGGAAAAGTTTTAAAGAAACCACTCACTCAAAAAATTTAGCTCAACCCGAAATACCCAGCTGCCCCAAGCATCATCCTTCTCTTCACCTCACTTTCTCTCCCTCATTTATCTTTTTCTTTCCCTTTTTCTCTCCTCTTCCCTTCCTCCTCTCGGCCGAACGTTTTCTCTTCCTTCCTCCTTCTTTTCTCCCTTCTCTCTCTTCCTTTCTCTCTTTCTTTTCTTTCTCTCGGTTTTCTTCTCTCAACTTTCTTCTTCTTCATTTGGGCGAGCAGCCCAAATTTTAATAAAACAATTTTTTTTTTCTTATAACAGCCCCCAAATTCTCTTAATTCTAATATAATCCTGCCACATCATCTTTTCCTTAAAAATCACCCAGATTTTGTGCCCTTGCTACATGCAAACCCAACAGTTTCCATTTCTTTGTTTTCACCCCTAAACAAACTTTAAAATTTGACAGAAAAGTCC